TATATATATATAAAGCACTCATATGTACAGATTATATAGTATATATATTATAGTTATTTGCTCCCTTACCTGCTGCTGCATGTACACCACAAAGTTGCTGCGCATACATTAAGCTGCCTATACACCTGCCGTGGTAGGCGAAGGCGAGTCCCCTTAAGACAGCTAGCTGGTTGTTATAGCTAGCTAGCTGGGTAGCTAGCTAGCTACGTAGCTTGCTACTTAGATACCCGGCCGTTTTTTATATACAGCTAGCTGGCGGTTAGCTAGCTAGCTAACTAACTGCTAGGTATCCGATGGCTAGCTAGCCGCTCGCCAGCTACTAGCTAGCAGCTAGCGGCTAGCTAGCAGCTAGCAGCAAGCTAGTAGCTAGCTAGTAGCTAGCTAGCTGGTGTGCTGCGCTGGTCCAAACAGCACGTTGCCTCCATTAACTCCTTTATGTACTAAATGCCATTTTCTTTCTTTTATAATAAATAAATAATTGTATATAATTATATTATTATTTATTATTATTATTTATTATTATTTATAGTTATCTATAATATAATTATATATAACTAAATAAATAATTACATATATATACAATATATGTTATATTTATAACATATAAATAATGTCTTGTTTATATAAATAATGATAAAAGATTTCCCCCTCCCCTACAAGAAGGCATGCATGCATACTTCCTTGCATGCAAGCTTGCATACATGCATGCTGTTTTGCATGCATGCATGCATGCATGCATGCGTGCGCTCTTGCATGCATGCATTGTTCATATTCTAGTAATATGGTCTTTCTGCATGCAGATGCTGCATGCAGCTGCTGCATCGGATGCAGTATTGCATGCATGCACTGCATGCATGCATGCATGCTGCACATGGGGCTGTCAGCTATTAATGGCTAAGCAGCAGCCGTCTTGCTGCTGCATCTCTTAGGGCATCCTGGTAAAGAAGCATACAGCAGCACAAACCCTCATATATATAAACCCTAAACCCTAGACACTAAACCCTAAACCCTAGGAAAGAGAGTGTAGCGACCCTCGTGGCTGTTTTAATTCTCTTTGCAGCAGCAACAACAGCAGCAACAACAGCAGCAGCAACACCAGCAACAGCAGCAACAGCAGCAGCAGCAGCAGCAGTCTTACACGCATGCATTCTGCTGTCATGATGCATCCTTTTAGACAAGCTTCAAACATCTGAACAAACAACAAGCAGACACAACTAACCCAACTGCAGCAACAGCAGCAGCAGCAACAGCAGCAGCAGCAACAGCAGCAGCAGCAACAGCAGCAGCAGCAACAACAGCAGCAGCAACAGCAGCAGCAGCAACAGCAGCAGCAACAGCAGCAGCAGCAACAGCAGCAGCAACAGCAGCAGCAACAGCAACAACAACAGCGGCAGCAACAGCAGCAATGGCTGCAAAGGCAGAAGACACTGGGGTACACTTAGGACATAACAATATATTAATAATTATTATTATAATTATTATTAATTAAATAAATAAAATAAATAAATAAAATAGTAAATATAATTAATTAATTAATTTATTTATTTACTTTATTGTATGTTTCTCTATCTACACGACCCCGAAGCTGTAAGGCAACAACCTGCAAACATAAAAGAAGAAAAAAAATCCCTTATGCAGCAGCAGCAGCAGCAGCAGCAGCAGCAGCAGCAGAAGCAGCAGCAGCAACAGCAACAGCAACAACAGCAGCAACAGCAGCAACAGCAGCAACAGCAGCAGCAGCAGCAGCAAAGTATAAAACGTACATTATTTGTTTCTGCTGTTATGCCTAGAGTTAGACAAGGGCCACCTGTTCGTGTCTCGTCACTAGTTGGATCCAGCAGCAGCAGCGGCTGCTGCTGCTGCTGCTCCTCGTACTGCTCCAGCTGCTGCTGCTGATGCTGCGGCAGCAGCAGCACTGTGCATGCAGGCAGCAAATCTCTCATAGCTACACCTGAAGAAAAAGAAAAGAAAAATTAATTATAAATAATAATTAAACTCTTGCTGCTGTTTGCATGCAGCAGCAGCCTGCTGCTGCATGCAAAGAGCATATATTTAATTAATTAATTTACTTAATTTAATTAGTTAATTAATTTAATTAATTAATACAATTAACTAATTAATTAAATACATAAATAAATAGGTTACCTGCATCTGCTAATGCAAGAGAAGCAGCAATAAGGGATGCTGACAATACACCTGCAGCAGCAGCAGCAGCAACAGCAGCAGCAACAGCAGCAGCAGCAAATGAGTTTATTGCCTTTATATATATACATATCTCTGGGGTACATACACCCTAAACCCTAAACCCTAAACCCTAAACCCTTAAAAAGTACTTACTGCCATCATCAGCAAGAACAAGAATAGAGATAGTAATCTTAGTTTGTGTATATAGACGTCTTAATATAATTCCTTCCGCTGCTGTACGTACAGCAGCAGCAACTTCTGCTGCATCTGGGGTGTACATACACCTGGATCGCATGCAACTATCTACTAATCCTACTGTACAAGAAATAGATAAAGGAGAAGATATTTCTCCTCTTCCTTCATGGATCATTTGTAGGGCAGCAGATGTACTCTCTGTTGTATTTATACTCCAGCTATTATTATTACTGTTGCTGCTGCTGCTGCTGCTGCTGCTGCTGCTTGATGCAGGCTGAGGTCCATATACTAATGCCATTACTTTTGTACAGCCTAAAGACACGACGGCTCTCCCGTCACAGCTGTTCAGACACCCGGAGGCACCTGCTGTAGCAATAGCAGATACGTCATTTGCTGCTACTGCTGCTGCTGCTGCTGCTGCTGCTGTTGCTGCTGCAGGAGGCACGGATGTGCGGCAGTGCAACTGACGGCACTCATGGACTAAACGGCCATCAGCGCGGAAACCGCAAGGGGATACTATTTCTCCTTTGTACATCTTTTTATTTAAATAAATAAAAGAAGAAGGAGAATTATAATTTAAATTAATACAATAGGAAATATTAAAGAAATAAAAGGAGAAGAAGGAGAAGAAGAAGAGAAAGAAGGAAGAGAAAAAGAGAAGAAATGGGAGCAGCTGCTGCAGCCGCTCAAACTGCTCCTCTTGCTGTAGCTGCTGCTGCTGCTGATGACGGGTAGAAAGGGTTTAGATCTAAAAGGAAGAAACTGGAGATTAATTGAATCAAATTAAAGGAAGCCGGAGGAATAATATGCATGCAGAAGCATTCAACTTTCTTTTATGTTGCTCGTAAGGCAAGAGCCTCGCCGATAGGAAAGGGAGGGGAAGGCGGACAAAAAAGAAAAAAGAAAAGTTTTTAAATAAATTAGTAAGCTAAATGGACAATAATTATATGATAAATGCAAAGAAAAGTCAACAAGAAAAGAAATTATCCGCAGGTTACCTCTATTGAATTGCTCCCTGCATTCTTGTATAGAGGGCTGTCGATACACCTGAGGAAGGCAATTGCTATTATGCCCTGCCTTCCTCCCCACAAGACATTTTATGAATAAAAAAATGTTAATTTTAATTAAAAAAGGCAGTAAATTAACTCTTTATATTGGTTTTATTTGTTTAAATATATAGGGCTGCGTTATTTTAATACATATTATAATAAGGGCTGCATGCATGCAGCAGCGCATAGGAAGAAGAGGAAATACCCCCCTCCTTTGTTGTTTGTTTGTTTTCCTCATCTCTTCCAGAGGATCAAATCTTTACTTCCTTTTGATGCTTTTTACCTCTACGTAAAGAAAAAGCAACAATTGGTGTTATTAGCAGCAGACGCTGCAGCAGCAGCTGCATGCATGCATGCAGCAGCAATTTTATGGATGATCAGGCGTCATTACCGCAGGAGCAACCGTTAAAAAAGGGAATAAAAAGAAGAAAAACAATTGATATATTTTTATTTAATTAATTAATAATAAAAAGTGTCATCAATTTATATACTTTCTTGCAACAACGAGACGAACAACGATACTCATTGTATACTATAGCAGCAAGTATAACCTTTTGTTTTGCTGCAGCAGCAACTCTTTTTTTTCTTAATTTTATTTATATTTATTTTCTTTCTTTGTTTTTCTTCTTTATTTTATTTTGTCTGCTGCCCCAATAGTTAAGGCAATGAGGGTATAAAGAAGTTTGCTGTACAACGAACTTGTAGGGAGAGAAAGACAGCAGCGAACAGCAGCAGCTGCAGCAGCTGCTGCCGCTGCTGCTGCTGCAGCTGCGGCATTTAGTCTAGCCGCTGCTGCTGCGATCTGCTGCATAGCTCTCTCCGTCAATTGCCTTATCAGGTAGAGAAAGAGGGCAGCAGCAACCACAGCAGCAGGAGCATCACCTGCAGCACTAATACTAACACCAACAACAACAACAACAACAACAGCAGCAGCAGCATCAACAGCAGCAGCAGCAGCAGCATTATAATTATATATATTATATGTATTATTATTAATAATAATAAAGAAGATGGAGGGCTACATGAATCAAGGTGAGTATAGTCTCTCCTCTACAGGGGATTTAGGTTCTTCCTCTCTGTATGATGGTGGTATATCCTTAGCGCAAGAGGAGCATCAGCAGCACCATCAGCAACAACAACAAGGAGGAGAAGAAGAAGGAGAAGAAGGAGAAGAAGGAGAAGAAGAAGAAGGAAATAAAGAAATAGATATAGAGGATACATGGACAGTAATTAGCTCTTTCTTTGAAGGAAAAGGTTTGGTCTCCCAACAAGTTGAAAGTTTTAATGATTTTGCAAGTTATAAATTACAAGAAATTATTGATGCACACCCTCCTATAGAAATTAGGTATATTTATTTATTTATTTAATTAATTAATTAATTAATTAATTAATTAATTAATTAATTATAAAATAGATAAATAAATCAATCAATTGTTTTATTTTGTGCATTTTTTGTCTTTATTTCTATTGTATATATTTGTTATAAATTACAAGAAATTATTGATGCACACCCTACTATAGAAATTAGGTATATTTATTTATTTATTTTTTTTATTTATTTATTTTATTTATCTTATTGTTTATTATTCTTTATTTTCATTTATTCATTCTTTTTTCTCTTTTTTTTTTGGTGGCATTGTTTCAAGGGTTTGTAGGGTTTAGGGTTTAGGGTTTAGGGTTTAGGGTTTAGGGTTTAGGGTTTGGTGTGCATATTTTTGTAGGCCTTCTCCTCAATATCGTCCTGAGGAGGATGTAGAATTAGATGTTCGTTATAGATTAAAGTTTGGTCAATTATCCTTGAATAGACCAGCAGCACAAGAGAAGGAAGGACTACAGAAAAATTTATGGCCACAAGAAGCAAGAATGCGTAATCTTACGTATAGTAGTTCCTTATTTGTATCTATTGAACAAACTACTTATAAGATTGATCCTGTTACTAATGAGGAGGTAAATAAATAAATAAATAAATAAATAGATAAATATAGTTAATTAATTAATTAGTTATATGTATAATTGTTGTTGTTCTTTCTCTGTCTTGTTGTTTTTCATATTGCATGCAGGCTATCTTTATGCTGTTTATCTGTATATTCTTCTTTCTCCTTTTTTTGTTTTTTTAATTTTTTCTTTTTTTTTTCTTTTTTCTTCTTTTTGTTTTTATTCAGATAGTAGAGGAGCGTCATTCTTATGAAAGAGTATGCTTAGGTAGATTACCTATAATGCTTAAATCTTTTTACTGTTGGACTCATGACATAGCAGCAGAACAACTACCTGATGTAGGAGAGTGTAGTTATGATCAAGGAGGATACTTTATTATTAATGGTAGTGAAAAAGTAAGTTTATTACAACAACTGCATGCATGCATGCATGCATGCATGCATGCAGGTAGACAGCCAGCCAGCCAATGCATGCATGCATGCATGCACGCATTGGTTGCATGATCATAGTGAATCAAACCTAACAGAGCAGCGGACAGTGTTCCTCTTTGTTTTATGTATTGAACACGCCCTTTCTTTTACCATTTTAATTATATATTATTATTTATTTCTTTTATTTTATTTATTTTTTTTTTTTTTTTTATATTTGCAGGTTTTGGTGGCACAAGAGCGCATGGCATCAAACTTCGTTTACGTCTTTAAGAAGGCACAGCCATCAAAATTCTCATGGGTAGCAGAAGTAAGTCGTGCATGCAGGCTTCCTTTGCATACATGCATGCATGCATGCATGCAGTGTATTTGTGCATGCATAGAGGGAGAGAGTTGCGTGTTTAGGGTGTTTCGCTGCCTTTATTTCCCTCTTTTCTCCTATCCTTCCTCTACGATCAACGCATGCATAAGGGATCTATGAGGGATTTGTGGTGTATGTACACTTGGCTTGCTGCAGGTAAGAAGTCAGATGCAGGGTAATCAAGCAACAAGCGGTTTTGCTGTTAAGAAAAGAACTATGACGGGAGACACAGGAAGAGGGAAGGGGGCAGGACAATTAGTTGCTGCTCTTCCTTATATACGTACAGATATTCCTATTGCTATTCTATTCAGAGCTCTTGGGTAAGACCATCAACTCCTATAACCCCTGCATATGTATATGTGTATGTGTATGGTTCTTATGGATATTATTTTCTTTTTCTGGATCCGTTGTATGCCACTGCATATGCACGCATGCATGCATGCACGGATATGTAATGTATATTTGTGTGTGTATGTGTTTATTATGTATGTGTGCGCAGGTGTGTGAGCGACTTGGACATATTATTACGTGTTGCTTACGATCCTCGTGACGAGCAACTATGTGCCTTATTGAAGCCTTCGTTAGAGGAAGGATTTGAATTTCATACCCAAGAGGCGTGCTTAGATTTTATAGGGAAGAGAGGGCCAACAGTAGGGGCACAAAGGGAGAGTCGTCTCCAATATGCAAGAGAATTATTAAGAAAAGAAGTACTTCCTCATGTAGGAACAGAGGCAGGATGTGAAGGAAAAAAAGCATATTTTGTTGGTTATATGGTACATAGACTACTACTTGCTGAATTAGGTAGAATTAATCAAGATGACAGAGACCATTTCGGCAAAAAAAGATTAGACCTTAGTGGTCCATTAATGGCTGCCTCCTTTGGTACATTATTTCGTAAATTAGTTAAGGATGTAACACGTATACTACAGAGGCAAATAGATCATGGTAAAACATTTGATGTTGCTGGTGCAGTAAGAAGTGCTAGTCCTATTACACAAGGATTACAATATCAATTAGCAACAGGTAATTGGGGTCGTGATAAAGAAGGAAAAGTTGTACGTACTGGTGTATCTCAAGTATTAAATCGTCTTACTTTTTCTTCTGCACTTTCTCATCTAAGACGTCTTAATACTCCTCTAGGTAGAGAAGGAAAAATGGCTAAACCTAGACAATTACATAATACACATTGGGGTATGATCTGTCCAGCAGAAACACCAGAAGGACAGGCTGTAGGACTCGTCAAGAATCTTGCACTTATGGCCAAAATCTCTGTTGGTGCACCCACCAAAAATATACGCGATTTCTTAGAGGTAATCATCAACTAGGGGATATAATGCGCATTAATGGTATACGTATATGTTTACTACATATTTATATCTATGTATATGTAGTTACGTGTGTACGGGAATGCGTGTATATATATATATATATATATATATATATATATATA